CGCAAGTCCAAAACCTTGAAACCATCAAGACTTTCATCCGAGACTGCATCTGGACATTCGTCAACGACCAAGGCAATGCAAGTATCATATATTTAACTAAACGAAACAGAGGTTTAATATAAGCTATAGACCCCGTTGTAAAATGGCGCTGATGGTTTCACTCAAAGGTTAACTGACTCCTTTTCATAGCTTCATTCCCTGTTTCTCTAATGGCTTCATTCATCCAGTCTCACTTGCCCTTCCCCCATGTATGAGTGATTGTATGTTTGTTTGTTTGTTTAGATTAGTTAAAACTTTTGGTGCACAAATTACACGAGTTTCTGATTCTGTCACCGCTTTGTGAATGATGTTCCTTTTACGATCCGATCTAGCTGCATGCTCTAATGCATTAATACTAAAAAACAAATTTTATGCTCGATTTATCAGGGATAACCAACAGAATTCATTCAATTTTGTTTGTTGATTTTAATTACAAAGGCTTTACCAATAAATTAATGAGATGAAATTACAACGGTGGCCAATCTGGGCATCCACGTATAATCTTTTATTCATACAAGTTTCGGGTGACACTGAAGAACCCGGACGCTCACACGAATCACTGATCTCGAGAAATAGATATGACATCTCTTGCTCACAGATAGTAGAACAGTGCAGACACAAAATTTGTGTTTGGATTCAACTGAACAATACCTGTACTGTACAATCCAATTTTTACTGTACTGCACAACATTACTGGTTTTTCTACCCTCCCGGCCTCAACTCACAACACTTTAACAACCTCAGCTCTTGCCTTTCCAACACTTTGGTCAATGCAGCAGCAATTCAACAACATTTGGATGAAACCCCAGATCTGTTTAATTGGGTTGCTGTGGTGAGGAGATTTCCAAGTCTGTTACTTTTCCTGATATAGACATAGTGTTGCACATAATCTTACAAATGAAGTAAAAATGGCATTTAGACACTACTTCCCTCATATCTCAAACCACCCAGAACTGAATAACCTGAAACAGACAAGCAGCCATCAAAACAAAAACAACCTCCTGTGGCTGAAACAAACTAAATCTAAGTCATTATGGTGTATGTCAGTCAACCCCTTTTTACAAAACAGAAGATGAATGCTGTTTGCTGTCCAAAGGAAGCAGGGAGCTGTTAAGAGGATAATGTCAAGGCGTCACTGCTAAAAACCTCTGACCCACATTCTAATCGTGAAAAACGAAGTTGCCCAACAACAATGTGACTACATGCCCCCAATCAAGATGGGGTTGCTGTTATCTACCTTAGGTGCAAAGTAATAGTGTTAGGTTTAATTAAGAAGCTGTATCAGATTAAAGGCAAGGTTAGAAAGGTTGACAGAGCAGTGTCATGGATATACTGTGACATAAAAGAATAAAGAATATATATCTTATTTGAAAATCCTCCCCATGGCATGCAATTATACATTGTTCTGGCACAACAAAAAATAAAATTGAAAAAGAACTATAAATTTATTATAAACAACCTTATTTACATGTACTTTCTAATTGAACCTGGTCAAAATGAGCATCAATGCATAACTGATTCAATAACATCTTTTATTCTGAGCCTATTCATTATTGCTCTAATGAAAGAGGATTACAAAATATTGTGCATGTGCCATATGGCTGGCAAAGAATGACAGGTTTGGATTAAGACCAAAGTATAAATGAATTGCACTTAGTAAAACAAATTTCAAAGCAATGAAACATAGTTCCATTACCAAA